GAGGCCATTCGGATGCGAGAGAATCGTCGCTTCATGGCTTTGACGTGGTCCGAATCGCTCATGTTCATATCGGTAAGGACGAGCTTCGAGGCAGTGTCTTGCTTGTATGCGATGCCCCAGTTTAAGCACACCTCCTTGGAGGCGGCATCGTTGATGAGGGCGTCGATAATGAGCAGGACAATGTCCATGGGTAGAGAAGCCGGTCCGGTCTTGCCAGGAGGAGTAGGCTGGAGACCCTTTGACAGGGAGATGGTCTTGGGGGACTGGGTCTTAGGAGCCCGCGTGCCTTGACGGCCCTTCTTGTGCTTGTTGTTGTGAGGCATGATTACGGGTATGAGAGGGACGGTTTGTCGAGGAAGATCCGCTGCTTAGTTGACAAAATCTGGCAAGATATCAATTAGCTAGAGCAGAGACGAGGAAATAGAATGGTCGTCTCACCGGTTTCTTGCTGGATCTACCTTTTTCATAGGAGCAAACGGGCGATAGGCCTGTGGGTGGATGGGAGGAAGGGCCTCGATCTTTCCTCCTAGAAAAAGTGAGCAACGTAGAGAAGAAGAAGTTCGTTTGTATAAGTAGCGGAAATTGTGAGATGAAGAAAGATTGAGATTCTCCATATACCGTGGTGAGTGAGAGATCAAGTGAGACAGTCTATAGGTAGGCCGCAGGTGAAGCTGCAGAGTGATTCACCGCCCTGCCACCCGACAAAAGAGGTCCGTTTGAACAAATCACCTCCGGATATCTGCTTCAGAACAGAAGCGCTCCTACCTATCCATCAAAGGTGTGCCTTCCAGTCGTTTCTTTTTGCTCCTGAGTGTCTAGGTTGTTCCTGCCTGTTTTCGCTGAGACCATTGGTGCCTTCCATTTTCTAACCGCGTTGGTCGTGCCTTCCCACCCGACAAGTTGACGCCTTCCTGAGAATTTGCTATCTGATCCAACCGTCATGTGACCGAGGTACTTAGGTAGGGGAACTGGGGAGGAAGGTGCTGTTCATACCTCTCCCACCTTGCCTTAGGTTAGTACCTACCTAGCTTGGGCTTACTTTAGACCACGGTAGTGCCGCCGCCTTGGGCTCTTGAAAACATCTCGCCCACCTACATCAACTGATAAATATCCTCCTGCTATTCTCTCCCCTCTAAAGTTCGTCCTCAATCAAATCGCCTCGAGACCTTGGATTCATATTTGGTCGCCGGTTCCCTGACCAGATCGAGGGCAGTCGCCGAAACATCTGGCGATTTGGCCGTCTCTCAAGCACCGTGAGAACAACTGGCCATACCGAGAGCTATATCGTCGTCCCTATCTAGTCCGAAAGTGATTTCTGATGAATCAGTACTCTCAGCGTGGAGGATGTCATAATCCATAATGTTGAGGGCAAGCTCGTAAGGCAGATTTGCAGCTCATCGAATATATGAAAAGTAGCTGCTGCCTCTGGTTCGATCTCTGCAGTGCTAAGCGCATATACATTCTCATCGTTGGCCCTCATTTCGATGATGCCTGGTCACTGGCACGGTGGCTGGTAATGGCCGTTGTCTTCTGGCGTTGAAAAACTTGTCCTAGCATTGATGGTGGAAGTTAGGATTACACGAGAAGATAGACAAGGCGTCTCGTTCCACTTGATAGATGCTCATGACTGGTTCCCTTCTATCTGTCACAGACCTTAATCCACACAGCGTCAATCGGAAGATAAGGTCCATGGTCCTCGGCAAACTCTACTTCATGTATCGACTGGCGCCAGATGGGTTAAAGATCCCAAACTTCGTCTTCATCAACCCGAAGAAAGATGTATTCCAAATCTGCAGGGACTGTGCGTGGGATGCTTGAGAGCATCCCAGCGTAGAGCTCAAGCCACTTCTCGAGCGCATGTGCAAAGTTTATGTTGGCGATTATAACTTCTTTACGCCAACCAACTCCGCGAAGATTGAGATCTAAAAACATCTCCCCGGCATTCGTCTGATCAACATAGACATTGGAACGAAGGAATATCTGGAAAGAGGATCAAAGGCTGAGCTGGCCGAACTGGAAATAGAAGCTGGTGTTGGAGCATCCCTGAAGATTTGTTCCCGGATCTTACAGAATGGGCAGAAAACCACAGGTCGACAGTTCTCAGCGTATGGAAGCCATTCAAAGAAAGAGGGATCGATCTTCTGGCTTGGAAAGTCATCTGGTGGCCGGCCATGGACGACCGTCTGTTGTGCAAAGAGGTTTGGCTTCATGCCTCTTCAGATGACATTCACGTGAAGTTCTGCTTCGGCTTGTACCATTATTGCAATCCCTGGGATTGAGTCTGCTCGGAAGCCACTCTAACTACTTTGATATGTTACCGGACCGAGGTCTTTTACCGGTTTTTGATCAACATTCATCCTGCGAGACTTGTCCTTTAAAGAACAATCATGTCGGGGTAGAATTCAAGTCGTCATCCTCAAGTTCATACAACTAAGAATGCCTAATGGAAGGATCTTCTCGCCGTTTGGTGTTCTCTTTCGGTTGGCGTTTCTCACTGACTCGATGAACCTGCCTTACTGCTTCTTCAGGGCTATGGTGCCTGCGTGCGACGTTACAGTCCTTCCCTTTCACGGTTCACGCTGTGTCTTGTGTAGTAGCCCAGGCGGCGAAAGATGTCTAGAAGGTATTGCATTGAGATGCTAATATCAATCTATTGTTGCGAGTTGGAGTGGTGGAGTCAACTTTGCCGAAGGGACTTATGTGTATGTGGTCATTGTACCTAAGCTATGAGTGAGCGGCATAAAGTTATATATTTACTAAATCACGACACGTGTACATATGTCAACCTTCGGTGAAGATTGGACTTTGATGACCTACACTAGTTGGATAAGGTAGGCTTGCTGGCGGCCACTATTGCTCGAATATGCAGACCAGCCCTTCACACGGCGGAAAAATAAATTGCTACATCTGCGCTCGATATCTATACTGGGTAGAGGTATAGTCGTGGGATTGATAGGCCTCCCTAACTGTCGTTACGGTAGTAGGGCGGCGCTTCGGCCGACTAACCAGGCATGTTGGAAGACAAAAATCGGAAAGAACTCATGCAAGTAAAAACACTCTCGATCGATGATACATAAGCTACCTGTTGGTCAAATAAGGTGCCTTGACGAAACCTGAATTCGTCGAGAATCGCTCCAATTAAAATGTTATATGAAGCTACCACGGACGAAGTATCGTGGCAGTCGCTGGTGTGGCAGTTGGTATAACGATAGCCTGCAGGCGGTAGCCTCTTAGGAGCTGCAACCTCTCGACATCCCCTGCGGCTCGGTCTAGAAAGAACTATATTCTTCGGTCGTGAGTCAACGGCAGTCTCTGTGTAGATCCGGCCACCTGCTTCTTGCTATCTGATATTGAATCTCGCTGTTTTGGTACTTTGTGGTGCGGTTTGGACTCGGCTCGCGGTCTCTGAAGCGCCAGTTTCCAGGCCTTATGTTTTGCTCTGAACAGTTATTGTTCATTCACATGTCAGCGGGGCAAGGCCTTTCAGGCGGCACGAAGCTCAATGACCTGGCTTTGAATCGCATAATGTGTATGTGGAAGGAAGAAGCGAATGAGTCCCTTTGAAGTGGAAGTAGGGGATGGAAGGGCCGCTGCCCGACCATCAGCGCCCTTTCGATTGCCTTTATCCTAACTGTTGCCACGTTGGGCGTGCGTCATGTGTTAATCATTAATCAAGGCTGAAAACCGAGGTGTTGCTGTTTCTGAGACTCTGGGCGAACTGTACCGAATGTCGAAGGGAAAGGTCATTAAGCTCGGCTAATGAATCTGTTCAAGACATCTTTGCAATCATAGCATATGTGGTTGCTTATTGATAGAGGGTGATTTGGGGTCTTCCAGGATCTGGTGAGTGGAGCTCCGGGCTTGGTTCAATGTTGTTATGCCAAGTTGCGCCAATCTGCCGAAGGGCCGGATAATGCTGTTCCGGGATCATGGCGAGAGCACCCCAGCACCAAAGGGTCCAGATTCTGAGTTTTGCGTCCGGACACAATGGTCAGGAATAGTCTTCATTTCATGTCTTGTGCAACGCGAATCGAATCAAGCAAAGAACGGGAAAATGAACAGCCCGACTTGACATTGGAAAATGGAAGGTTTTCTGACCACAGCAATAAAGAAAGAGGGTTTCGTTCTCCAAGACGGCTTTTTAACCAACCTCCATGTCTAGTGCCCCTGAATGAGAAGGGTACATGCTCGTCATCTCAGGCGCTATACGATTCACGAAGCCTGGCGGACGGAGACAAGACCTGGCAGGACTCCAGCAGGTTGCAGCAACTATCACAGCCTTAGTAAATATCATATATGATACATCAAGTGGCCGGGATTCTTACTCATGAACAGCACATCATGAATTCGAAGACCAAGGTTTGGAAGAGATCGCGATGTTATCCTGCAGGATACAAGGACGAGGTGTTGTTGTGCTCCGTCCAATCAGGTGTGTTGCGGACCTGCGGAGTGGATCCCTCCGCAGTCCCGCTTTCTTCAACCTCCTGTCCATCTACCGAGTACCAAGAAATCCGAGAACCTTCATCGGTTCAGCTCCATGGGTGTTGTAACTGTTGTTTGCCTATCTGGGCGGACCTGAGTACCCCGCAAGCCGGTATTGACCTATAGCGCGGAAGACATCCGTTGAACGTGGTTCCATCACTTGGCCGCGCACCAGAAGCGAGTGGCACTAAGCCGGATCCTGGGATGTCTCGACTCGTGGGATTCTGGAGTGTTCCGGTCGCACAGCTAGAACAAAAGCGTTGGCGCCAGAGTATTGGTCTAAACCAAGACGCGATAACAATCGCTCTAAAGAACAGGGCCAGAAAACGCATATGTGATCACAGACTCGCACTAACACCAAAAACATTCATGGCCATGACGTGTCAAGGTTCCTCTTCATATTACGAACCAAAGTTCCAACGCCTTTGAGGCGGGCTTGTACACTAATTACAAGCTAATCGTTTACTGTACATTATCTAACATGGATATCGTGGTGTTTTCTCTCGCCGAACCAAGCCCTACGCCATCCTCGAGATCTCAAACGTAGTCTTGACATGGATGTTGCCCGTATTACTGCGAATCTCCTCGTCCGAACGCTTAGCCGAAACCGATACGTCGTGTAGGCTCTTCATGATGCGCTCCTCGCTGTCGTTATCAATCTCGGTCCACCCCATATTCGCCGAGCGACCATCCTTGGTCAGTTTATCGAGACGATGACTGCTGCTCTTCGCGCCAATCGTGACAATGTGGTTAGCCGACTCCTGGCCGCCCGTCTTGGAGCGGTTCTTTGACGTGCGGGATCGCACGGCCGAAGCGTTTTTGGCGATCCAGGGACCCAGGACCGGGGCGTTGACGGCTAGGATTGCGACGAACTGTCGAGGTGGGAAAAAGCCGGGGTCAGTGGGGGTGAACGAACGGAATCAGAGTTTGCCGGATCAGAAAGGGAGAGGGGGGGGGGGGGGCACGGTAAATTGGATTGAGGAACGTGGGCCTTACTGTTTCTCTGATGGACCAAATGGTGCCTAGGTTGATCGACTTTGCATCCTGCAGGCAGAGGATGCACCTGAGAAGCGTGGCAATGATGATGAAGACGCCTGTGCAGAGCCACAAAGAACAAATAATTTTCCTGACCATCATTAGTAACTAAAATAAACTAAGTTTGCCATGGAGTTGACTTACTTGGCCGTTGGCATCTGAACAGACCATAGCAATGGTATTGGGATGTAAAGAATCATCATGTCGGTTCTATCTCCGTGTCAGAACATTTTCCACAGGTCATAGGGCTGTGAGGTGTCCTTCGGAAGGACATACGTGACGTTGGTAATTGCCAGTGCAATGTAGTTAGGAATGTTCAGCGCACAGGCATCTGTATCCGCAAGTCAACTTGAGGTCCATCAAAATCGAGCGAGGAGAGAAACGAACCGCCAGGGTATGGATAAATCTGCCAGTTCCTGTGTACTGGCATGCACTTTGTCATGATGACAAGGACTGTGGCGACGTAGCATAGAACACACGCTCCGGCAGTTATCTTCACCATCTTTTGCTGCTGCAAGTTAAGTCTATTTCCCATCAACCAAAACGTCAGCTAACCTTCCACAGGGAGGATGACTAGTTGGTGGGTCGTACGTGAGCCTCATGTAGAGAAAAAGCATGCACGCTTTCAAGCACCAGATCAGGGTAACGTAGAGAACCCATCCTGCCAGAAGGCATTTGCTACCAATGACGATTGACTGTTTTTGTTGGTCCGAAAGCGTCAGGGCAATCGCATCGCTCATTCCGGTGATGCTACCATATCGACCTGAAGCGGAGAGAAAGAAAGTTAGATTTTGATCCGATCTCGCGAAGTAAGGGGGCTGTCAACGGAATCCTCACCGATCATCTCAAGCATCAACAACTCGCCCTAGAAACCCAAGGGTCAGCTCCAAACTCTATCTTTAAAGCGGTCGTGCGCTGGGTGAGGACACCCTTACCGTCCAGAACAACACCGCGATGGCCGCGAAATAATCATCTCCTTCCCAATTGGTCCCAACGAGTCTCGTCCGATAGACTATGCGTATCAGGAGCACGAGCAAGCCGATGGCATACTCGGTCCAAGCCTCGACTTGGAACGGCGTCGCCATGGTGTGAGCTGGCGCTGGTGGTGGGGGAGTGCCCGGGTGGGAAGATGCGGGCTATGCAGTTGCGGTGGTCTCTCGTCCGCAAGTTTCGCCCCTCACCTCTGCAATGTGATGTGGCCTCCCTTTTCAACCCAGGAAGCAAAAGGCTTCTGCTGGGGCCAGGCATGAATTATACAAAATTCCCGCTGTCCAAATCCAGTCATGCCCTAGGCGCGTGTTTGCCAGTTCTGGGATCTTGGAAGCAAAAAACACTATAGAACCAGGGGGTCAAACTAGGACCTTATGGTGCCATGTTGACACTTTGAGTTGCATTCCGACATCTTGCCGTGGGAAAAAGGGGCCTTTCGAACAGAATCCCCATCCGTACCTGAATCGTGAAAGTCGTCTTTGAGGGACTAGTGTCGGGGCTCGCAATATAGATCTGCGCCTGTCTTTGCAATTCTGAGGCTGCAGCAGGCTGGGAAGCCTGGGGAGGCCGTCCTTCTGCCCACCGCGGGTGGAGTTTGCGCGCTTGGTGGAACGTTGGTCAGGATGTCAATAGTTTGCGACCCCTGCGAGAGGGACCTTTCCGAGTGCTGCCCAAGACGTGACGCGCAGTCATATCTATCATGCGTTTGCCGTCCCGCTGGAGAATGTCTCTTTGTTATTTCCTGGTGCGGAGACGTCTCGGTGCGCCATCTACTTAGCGTAAAGTCAGTGCCCGGGGAAGTCAACCGTCTCTTTCTTAGCTCACTACCGCCCTCGTGGGCGCGAGACATTGAACTGTTAGCCATATGAGATAAAGTCGTTCGGAATTGGGTTGACAGCACATAAGGCAGAAATGGCTTTCAATCGTCAAGATAACAAGTCGGATCTTCCGACATGCTGGTTCGTCCCATGATGCAACGACGGTTCGAAGCTACGCCAAGTTGGTATTTGGAGTCGCAACTAAGGTTGTAGGGACAGACCCCATCAATCCCAAGGACTTGATCGTTTGGGAAACGACACGACCTTTGCCGATTGCTTCTCGTCAAGCATCCCTGTACTTGCATCTCAGCATGGCATTTCGACTTGACCCTAGACCATCTTCCAAAGATGCGGCCTTGTTCCTCCGCTTCTTGGTATCAGTCAGGTTCCTAGCCCCTTGGTGTGGCTTAAAAGCATAGTCCCCCGACTCTCTCTCCTCGGCCGGCTACTCTCTATCCCCCCTTGTCACCAATCCCATCAACCGTATTACGCAAGATGCTTGTCTCCGCAATCCCAGAGCACCTCCAGCAGTGCCCCCGAAAGATCGCTGCCAAGACACCACCTGGCTTTCAACCTCCTTTCCCAGCTTATAGCGCCAGCTTCCCCAAGGACACGAAAGATCTCGTCTTCGCTGTTATCGGTGCCCAGTACACCTCTCAATCCAACGCTGATGGCGCCGCCGTCGCCCAGTTGACCAAGTTCACCACCTCCAAAGCTGTCGACGCCGTGGCCCGCCCGCAGTTCGCCGAGTGGGCGTCCGTCACCGACAACAAGGGCTACTACAACGTTGCTCACCTCGCATACTGGCCGAGCAAGACAGCCTACGAGAAATGGGCCGTCGACTCAGGGTTCCAACAATGGTGGGAGGAGCTCGAGGCTGGGTCACACAGCAACGGATGGTTCCTCGAAATCTTCTTCCCAACAATCGACCGGTTCGAGACGGTGTTTTCCAATAATGAAGTGCCTGAGGGTGCAGCACACATGAGAGAATGTGTTAGGGGCCCGATCCAGGAGCATGTTTACTGGGGTAGCATGCGTGACCGCATGGCTGCTGCTCAGGACGATGAGCTGGCTGGAGAGAAAGTTGAACGACCAGCGACGACTAACCACACCAACGGGACGAACGGTACTAACGGACACACAACATCGTCATCTCGCAGAGTCAAGGTCGGTGGTAAGCGCAATTTGGCCATCATTCGCTCCGGCCAAGACTGGTCCGACACTCTGCCCGAGGAGCGTGAGCTCTATCTCAATACTATGCATCCTGTCCTAATCAAGGGCATGAACTTCCTGCGCGACCAAGGAGAGGAAGTTGGATGTCACAGCTGCCGGTTCATGGATCTAATCGACCCCGTGACGGGCAAGGCCGATAAGGATCGCACCTTTGGACTGGCCTTCTTCGATGAGCTGGGCTCTCTCGAGGGATGGGCTAAGCAACACTCGACACATTTGGAAATCTTTGGAGGGTTCCTGCAGTATGCAAAGAAGCTGGAGAACAACGTGTCGCTCCGTCTGTTCCACGAGGTTCTGGTACTGAAACCTGAGCAGCAACTGTTTGAATACGTTGGCTGCCACCCAGGTACTGGTTTGCTGGCTATAGTTTAGTCGCATAAAGAGTCGAGATACCAAGCGTTGATTGAAGATACAAATGCCATTATTCCAGTCTCAGCGGGTGCTACGGGTGACGTAGCGGCCATAGAAATGCGTGCTGCCATAATGATGCATCTGATGCCTGAGACTCACACTATGCCTCTAGGAGCTTTCCTGAATCAAGTTAGGTTGACGTAGCTCTCTCGGGTCAGTGTCCCCCCTTATCGTGCGGACGTCACAGCTCCGCAAGCTCACAGATACTGTGGTTCCTGAATTGTCGGTATACCTACATCACATGAGTGATCTGTTATCAAAGATCCCCTGATATTTTCTAGCCGCAAAGACATTTCGTCCTGGGTTTGAGCGCGAGTTTATGTTGCGGTGCCCATCACCAGCGCACCGCCGAAACCCGAATCCGACAATCCGGAGATAAGTGGATCTCTATCCCGACGAGTGGGTCCCGGCCCGGCTGGCCAGCGCAGGGTCATTAGCTGAGCTAAGGGCTCAAGCATAGCGGGCGTCCGGCTTCTCGTCTCTTACGAAACATGCAGATATATCTTGTGCCGCCAATTTCATGCTCCAGTTATGTTGGGTCGCAAATGTTTCTTCGTCAGACAACTTCAGACCAATCTTGCAAGAAGGCGCGTTCCGTTGATAACAGCTCTCACACACCCGAAGAGACTTGCACTACTATGTATGACAGAAGAGAGTAGATTCCTTTTTCCAAGTAACATTCAAGTTCCGAGGCTTCTGGGCTGATACTCGGCCGAATGCCTCCTTTCCCTCATACTCTAGTATCCTCAAATCCGGTTTATTCCTGAAGAAAGCAGTAGCGCCTCACGGAATGCGGTCATTTTTGAAACAAAATCTCCCTCTTGGGCCCTTTGAAGATGGATATCACGCCAAACCCTTCTTTCCTCGTTCACAAGGGAAATCCTTTGATAGATGCTTCCTCGCCCTCAGCCCAAGGGGCCGAGACCTTTCGGCAGGCAGGGCTGGAAACTGACTGCATCCAGGTCGTCAGCGAGCTGAAAGAACGTCGAAAGTTGTTGACTGGACCCATTGCAAACTCATTTGCTTCTGCAAAAGTCCGATAAAACCTTGGACAAGCTCACAGTCAACTCACTCCTAGCTGCTAAGGTCAAGATAAGGGCTCAGAGTGCTTGCCTATCCGCATGTTCAACAGCTGAAGTAAAGGCGTTTAGTTTGAAGGACGAGGGTCTGCATACCACGAGTGCCTTCCAAGTTGCTGGGTTCGGTCATGTGATGGGTTCATTGTGGCCAGTCAGTGATGAGATTTCTGTTGAAGTTGTGAGGCTGTTCTAGGTGTTCTTGAGTAGACCCAGAACTATGCCTGTATCACCTGATAGGCTTGTTGCCGAGGCACTGAGGAGCGCGCCGTACTTGAGATTCGTACCCGGTGCCGACAATACCGATATTTGGGGCTCATACGTACACTATGATGCATAACGGGCCGTGTTCATTGTATATCCATACAGAAATCGAAATCAGCCTTTGCCCTCAAAACACATTGTGGCAACATTTCTTTTCTTTTACGATCTGGTTTAGCCATTGATTTGAGGCATCATAGTATGATCCATCCAGTCAAATCTTGTTCGAGTTCCAGAAGTTATGTCTCCGAGATACATCCAAAACTTTGTACATTGCCTACTGATAAGAGACGTGTCTTAATTTCCCAGTTGATACTCAGATTTTGTCACCCCTGAGAACTTAAGAACTTTCTCTCAGGCTCAGTCACAACGGACTAGAGACGAAATAGCCTTTTTGTATCGTTGAGAAGCAGGAAGGCACGTTATAACACATCAGCACCCTAACAGAGAGCAGCTTGCCTTGGACTTGCCTGGTTCCTCCTCCTTGCCGCAATGCCCACCATCTCCACACTCATGACCCATAACACAATACCCGTTCGAATTGGCAACGCACGATGAATTACGTAATCCCCGATGGCACAATTGGCTAGCGCGTCAGACTGTTACGATCGAGGTTGCTCGCTATGAGCAAAAGAGATAGATATCTGGAGGTTGGTGGTTCGAGCCCACCTTGGGGAGGTCAGTTGCTTTTTGTATTTTCTTGTCACTATTCATCAGATTTCTGGTAAATGACAATACATGACTAGTTCCTTCCTAGGATTTCTTCCGCTTTCAGTATCCTTCTGAAGCCTTCCCATTAAAGTACTGATAGATAATTCCACCACTCTGGATGATCACTTTCCCTCAATGACGCATGGATAGAATTTGGCATGCCCAGTAACATAGCAATCACAGCTTCTCGAATGAATCATAGTGAACATGTCAAGTATGGTTGCACAAAGATGCTCCTGATTGAACAAGCTATCAGGGCATTGGAGTTCAGGGTTTATGAATGCGTAAAGGCTCTGATCCTTCAGCAATTGTAGCTCAAATTGAGGAGATTGATTTACCTTATCTATGTGAATAACTTTTGACCTGAGGCAAGTTATATATGTGCAAATGCGTTTAGTTAATTGGCTTAATGCTAGAAGCCAGGACAGATCATGCCAGAACAAATAATCATGAGATTCCGAAATTCATATCAGCCTTCCTAGAGTAACAAGCCCAGGGCGAATACCATCATTGCAATCCCGAATGACCACATCGGAGTATTGTAGATGAAATACTGAAGGTAAACTAAGGACTCCTCGGTTTCACCGAGTCAAACGTACGAACCACGACACCCACGTTGCGACAACCCGAGTTGCGCAAGAATTGCAAACACGCAAGGAACTGGCGCTCATCTCTAACCCATAGGTTATCATTGACCATCAAAAATTCCTCTCTTTCGACAAACCCCACTCCGAAGTGCTCATCGTTGCTCAAGATCTCAATCAGCTTTCGCCAGGAAGGCTTCTGTGACGTATCCAGAATGTCTTTCAAGACCACAAGTTCTCGCCTCTGAGGGTCGCCAGTACGTCTGATATTGAACACGAACTCTGGAGTGGAGTATTCACCGCGAGAAGCTCGTGAAGGTGATATGATTGTCTCCCCGGGGCGTTTTCCCTCACTTTCTGTGGGAGGTGTCTCTTTGTCTATCTCAAGGGAGACGCCTGCATGGTTATCACTGTAATCGTCCTCAGATGGCTCTAATGGAGGCTCTGGTGATGGATCAGGCGGAAAAGGCGCATCGGATGTGTCCACAGACTCTGCAGGGCTGAGAGGCCTGTAATCAACGAGACCTGTCAAGGATACTCCGGCGGTAGAATCTAGCTGGAAAGCTCTGGCACTGCCAATCCGGCTCTGAAGTTCTCGTCTGGCTGTTGCTTCCATTTGAACACACAAATTAGTTTTTGTATGTCCTGTACGCTTTTGCGTCAGATGTCGGTGGGGGCCTCCATGCCAAGTACAGCTTCTGGTGGCAGGAAGATACAGAGAAGGATACCGGATGGTCTTGGAGGAATCTATGACACAAGAAGCATCTCTTCTTACTGACACCCATGAACCGAAACGAGGGCATAAGCTCAGGATTTCGGTCGTAAAAACCGAAAAGTTGCATCTCAGCATGAACAGCGAGGTCAAGACGACAGGTCTTCTGAAAGCGCGGCTCTGGATCTGTGACACACCAGATTGTAGCCAATCTCCTCGCGAATTCCTCTTCTTGGTCTCCAACGATTCTCCGTAGAACATCTCTCAAAGGCCGTTCGCCTTCTGCAATAGAAAATTCAAGCCTTGAGATGGGCTCGATGGGTTCAATTCGCATCGGGCAAAAGAGGGCGGGGAACTCTGCTGGAAGCTTACACAACGCTATTGATGCGACCCCGTATCTCCCTAGCTTGTAGATACTGTATATCCAAGAGGGCACTGGTATACTCTGGACAGAGAACAGAGCCTCGATACAGGTGGAAAGTTCCCATTTGGCTTTTTCTGCCCATAAAATGTAAGGCAAGAGCTCTGATGGAGGCGCTCCGGTTGCAATGGTTGTGATCGCACTAAATTTTCCCATCCATGCAGTGAACCTTTCGACTTCGTTGACCTCAAAGGTGGATGAAAGCTTCGGCAAGAACTGCTCAAGCCTCAAAATTTCTGATCTATGTTTCCGGAGGTCCGCAAGATAATACCAGATTTTAGCCTTGTCGAGACTGATCATCTTCAATAGGACACTCAGTCTCCTCTCGTTCGTGAGACCTTGCATCAATGTCAGTATGAGTCTTCTAACACAAATCAAGAGTCACTATTTACCCATAGCAGATACGTCATGAAGAATTTCCATCACTTCCCGAAGAAGGACCAGTGTCGATGCGGACACCCCAGCATTACTAGCGATGCGAATGACCGAGCCCTCAGGCGCTCCTACCTCAAAGGCGGCCGCCGATACTGTGTCGCCATCTTTGTGGGTTGAAGCTAGTAGAGCGAAAGAATCGAGAAAATTTCGCTTTAGCAACTCTTCTCGGGGAACACCCGCGTCATGAGGGTGTCGATCCAGACCGTATGCTGTTGGACTACCCCTTACTGGGTCTAGCTTGTGAAGCAAAACGGCGTCTTGCACAAACCGTTTCTGTGAGTTTCCAGTGATTTCTAGGTTCATGACCATCCGTCGATTCAAGTAGTGGAATACTCGTGATTACCAAGAGAGAGAGAAGGTTCAATGCGTTCGATAATTGATGTCGTTGTGTAGCGTGGATGATGGCTATCCCTCATATAAGCTGTGGAAGCAGGTTTTGCATTTGTTATTGGAATTTTTCCTTTGCTTTCAAGCATAGCCTTCATATGTTTCCTGTGCCGTATGGTATCAACAGGCTTCCACCAATCGGAACAACTGATGCTCGTCATTATGATCAAGAGGGTTAAGTGATCGGTATTGATTCGACACCCCCTCGCTGCATTTGTCTTGACCTTACCGCTTGTCCTATCCGCCTTGTTTTCATCTCTCGTCGGCTGTTGGTCCACGCTGCAGGCGCCTTGCATGCAATAGGGTGTATACCGGTAGATATTACCGCGTCAGTGCTTACAGGCTGAGAGATGAAAGGTTCGACGGCCTCCTGCATATGCCAGCAAGTGAGGCAACAACCTACCCCGCTAGCGTGGTTTTGCTTGCCAACCATAAATGAACAACCTCTACTCGTTTGACCATGTATCTACGTCAGCGACCCTGAGGATAAAGTACCGCGCAGGCCAGTCATTTAGCACACAATCTTTCCACGCGCAGGTGTCCAAATGCGAGAATCACCAAAAGCTTGTGGCGCGATTCTGGCTTTGCCGTACACATATGTCGAGAAAGTTGGCCGTTGGAACAATCCCAACCCTAAGCAGCCCTGTCTGCCAAGGTCTACTCGATGAAATAAAGTAGAGACTTGTAAGTATTTTAGAGCATCAATCTGAGTACGACCGAGCCGTTATGTCTTTGGAGTACGATTTCGGGAAACTCTACCTCATTAGCCCAGGGCCAAGAGCAGAGCGGACTCTCGACTTGGTCAAGGACATGGGATGGGACGCTCACAAAGTTAAGGCATACAGGTCTGAAGGCGCTGACAAAAGGATCTGCACAGCGACTGGCAAGCCGATGCTACGCGTACACCTGAATAGTGGTTTGACGTATTTGACCACCGCTTCCCGTTAACTTGAGCGGCTCGATCTGAAGAATTCTGTGAAATCTGCGACGACATCAGGCGTGATCTAGTGGATGGATGGGTTGTCGATTTGGATTGGCAGTCGGCGTGATGGGGCTCGTGTGACATGGCACTGTCTCCTACAAGCACCAGTCTTTGACGTCAGTAGTAATCAATACACCAGAAGTCTTTAATTAGACACATTTTTGAACATCGGGTCTACATCGAGGGCTATGAGAACAGAATATCCCATATCAGCCCACCCGTGCTCACAAGTGCCGCTGACCCCTGAGTGAAGACCAATTTCTGTGTCAAGACTTTCTCCATACCACTGCTTAAAAGTCACTCTAAGATCAAGACTCAACTTTGCCATGGATTGTATACATCAGCAGAAGTTTTGGATATTCTGCCCAGCTGTCGCGATGTCCGAACAATCCATGATGATCATAGCCTGCTCCTGGCAATGGCGTTTGAGATAACCTAGCGTATGCGTGGTAAAGGATATTTTCTAGCGAAAGAAAAGCCACTGGTTCCAGAGAAGAAAATTTGAAGTCGAACCTCATGGCCTCATCGAAAGATAAGTTCAGTCGGGGTTATGCTCGTCTAATTCCAGCTACCCCTTGGAGCCGGAAGTTCGTTCGTAGCCCACATATTCTTAGAACTAGGTTCAGGCTGCCCAGTTCTCTTATAGCAAAGTGTAGATCTTCTTAGAAGCTTGCGACCGTTTACGAATCACATAAAAGTGGGTGAAGACATTCGTTAATAGCAACGATTATTCTTAACATGTTTCACCTGGTGAAGTCAAGCTTGGCATCCCAACACCTGCCCCTCGAGGGCCAGAAGGGAGAAACTGGCCAAGAACATAGCATGACTCGCTCAATTGCGCGCGGCATATTTGACTAGACCTCGTACGAGACTGTCGGCATACTCGGCTTTCTGTTGAGCATCCCGCTGTCTATTGGCGTCCGGCGGCCAGGCGGCAGTTCCCTGCCGGTTCTTGGTTGGTAGACCCGCAAGGAGACGAAATGGGCCGAATAGCTCAGTTATATCACATTAAAACTTCAAGGCGACTGGCCCAAGCCTAATGTTCGTCTCGTATTGAATGATTGAATACCACTACATAATCGTCGTATCTGACTCAAAGCAAAACTCGCTTTGGCCTTTTCTCATCTTTCTACTTCGCCATATTTTCAATATGTTCCTAGGAGTCAATTAGTTTCAGCCAACACTGGAAGTCAACCTTTACGAGTTGATTGCTTTAACGGGTAAATGTATCCCATATGCCTTGTTCACATACTAAACGAGGTGTATTAACTTGACTTCTAATAAGGTTGCGGAGGATTCTTTTTCGTCAAGAGGGGAAATGCCACGCGGTGGCCAGTGGTCTTTAAATAGATCCGAGCGTCAATTTGATGAAGATGGCTTAAACTTTATCACTGCCCTAGCGAACGAACGCAGCCGATCGGATGGGCTGGCCCCACAAGGCTCACAGATGAAACCATGACAAGCAAACAGGTCTGGTGAGAAGGATGGTTATCAAGCCCAGACAACATACCATGATTCTAGGCCTGCGAGGCCGGCCAGGACTACACAGCCCCTTCTCTGAGCTACAAGAAGGGGTTCCCTAGTCTTGAGTCAAGTTGGTGGCTCTGAAAAAAGTGAATGCATGACGATGTAGGCGAACCGTCGCAACTTTATTCGCAGTGTGCCTGAAAACCCCTGTTGCAACTTGATCATGTCCTTTGCGTCGGGTACAGCGGACAGACCGAGCTAGTAAGTTGTTGTTAGTCCAAGTGGTTTGACTGACTATGATATTGCTCTGCGATCATGTTCGGATGATAAAACGAACGTCGGCTGCCCTACGAGGCGTTGGGGCCCTGATTTGTTTGGTCAGCTTCGGCCGTTCCTTCTCTCAGTCACTCTTTTGACCGTAACCTATAACCACTCATTTGACTCCTTTTCGTTCTTCATTTAAGTCATTCTCAGCTTTTATCATGGTGAAATCACGGAACTCTCTTCGGGGTCTCGTTGGGGCCATTGGTTTGCTAGCGGTTGGAACCAATGGTCAGACAGACAACACGGTTGAATGGGTTAGCTTCCTCCTGGGACCACCACTCCCCAATATCGCAAGAAGGGCAACGGGACTGACAAAAGCCGTCTGTAATACAGACTCTTGGAATGCCGCTTAAGTTCTTTGCTACGGCCGAGAATACACCATCATGCGCTGCAAGCTTTCAAGACGCAACGGGGGATGCCAAAACGTTCACACCAGTTCAGTCTAATACTGACACGGTGATGGCGGGTGGCACGGCTGCCGATCTAGCTACCACATTTTACTTAACAAACGGAATATTGGCCGGTGGTAAATCTTTCACCGATCCTTCGGGGATCAGAGTTGCTGGAGGAGGCTCCGGTGGTGGCTGCTGGGATATCTCCAGCGGTACTGTCAAGGTTGCTGCATGCGATCTGGCCAAGAACCAGACATTCTATGTGAGCTGAAGTTTTCACTTGCTTGAGCTACGAAGGGTTTCCCTAACGAAAAGTTTCATCAGGTTGGCATTCCCGGAGACAAGCAACCCTTCTTCATCTACTCCTCAACACTGGGTGCCCTCGAGAGGCCCGCCAACGCCGGCGAAGCCCTTACCTTCCCCTCAGCCAGCCAGACCCAGTTCTGCGCGTATGCCAACGACACCGGAAAGCTCGTCATTCCTCCCGCCACGGGGACCATGTACTACCCGCAAGCGCAATTGACAAACCTCACATCCACCTCCTTTGGCACCACTCCGCCAGCATCAGAAGGCGATATACCTCAGTGCAGATTTGCCGACCAAGGCAACACATCAACATCCATGCTAGAAAGTATGGGTTCGACCGACTGCATCGTTGCGCGCTCTTTCGCTACCATCCCCAGCGGCTGCGATGCCAATCCTTCCAACAAGACTTGTATCCTTCACTTGTGGCCTGCCTTTTGTCTGGATCTTCCTGAAGTTCGCACTGGAGCCAATGCGTCGGATGCGCTTGAAGTTTGCGTGAGGAAGATTAGCCAGGGACCTTGTGTTGCTAATCCCTCAGGAGCCGCTTGCGCTTCTAATTTGTTCGCTGGGATCAAGTATGTTGGTGGTGTTGGTGGTGGAGGCGGTAGCGCGAACTCGAAGCGCCAGACTTCAAATGATCCTCTGTTTGGAAACCCCGGGTCGAATATCCCCCTTGAGGACCAGTTTTGGATGGGTAAGTTGTGACTGATTCTATTACCAAGAGAGCCCCAATCACTGATACGAGGCTTGCTTCAGGCGTAATGAAGAACGTCATCAACTCAGCTATCGGTGCTTTCAAGTTTCTAGCCACGCCTCACGTCCAAGAGCTCAAGGTTACATGTATGGGGATGAGCCATCTTACCAGCATCTTTGAGGCGAGCGTCGGAAAGACCATTCGAGAGGGATGCAGAGACGCATTCAGAGCCTTTGATGTAAGTAAACACGCACTCAGGCCTCGTGAAAAGCCCCAGTCGAGTGCTTCTGCTGACGTCTTGTCAAACAGAGCATCCACGAACTCACCTACGACAACGATATTGAAAAGGCGGGCAGCATCTTCGCGGATGTTGTGGGACTCTTGAGTGTGGCCAAGGACGTCGCAACAGCAGCGAAGGCTGTTGGTGCCGTGGACGCTGTATTGGCCAAGTTTGGCAAGACTGCGGCAACTGTTGGCGAAGGCAAGGGGCTCATGCTGGAAGCTAAGGAGGGTGAGAACACCGTGCAGATCTTCCGTGATACCGGCGATGGAAAGCCCAAACTGCTGTACACGGATAGCGACGTTGCTGCCATGGAAAAATCCATCGAAGAAGGAGGTAAGTCTAAGCAACGCCAACTTTAGCCCAATTGATCAGGCTCCAGAGCTAACCTCATCAGGATTCGACAATTGCAAAATCTGCATCGAGGGAGGTGGTGCCAAGGTCCGCCGCCAAAAGGGCATCTTGCGCAAGTTCTGTTGCTTCTTGAGTCCTCAGACCCTGGAAGCACCAGAGCCCGTTTGGAACGACCAGACTGGCCTGGCAACCGGCCTCGGCACATCTGAAGCCATCCCCTTGGCCAATCGCGTCGTAGCCACTCTCTCCGAGACCGCAGCCCTCACAGCTGACGAGAAGACGCTTATCACTACCATGAGCGAGGGCTTTGCCAACTGGTACACCAAGGCGCAGTCCGTCTCCGCCAATGTCGACGAGATCAGCGCTGTGTTGCTCGAGGCAAGGAAGAAGACCGCCGACTGGGGCAAGATCGCCACCGCAACGTCCAAGGCGTATGGTCTGAGTGATCAGGAGAAGTGGGCTCTCAAGACCTGGATCCAATGGTACATGATCAACCCCGAGTTCAACAACGCCTTGTCAAAGCTTCCCTCTGCTACTGGCTTAGTTGTACGCTCGACTGATCTTGATGCTGCGACGGTCAACATGCTCAATAAGCTTGAGTCCGGTGTGATTAGCAAGGGAAAGGCAGGCATCTACGAAGTTCAAGGTGAGTTATGCTGATATTCTACAGTGCTTCAATGTTAATATTTGCTAATAACTTGTAGACCTCGTTCTCAATGTCAACACACCTTCAGGTGGCACCGGCGAGGTTCGCAAAGTCATGGCGACGACCCTCAACCTCGGCGACGGCATGTTCACAACCACAAAGGACTACCTCTTCATGATCAACTCCAAGTCAGGTCGCTACATTGAAGCCGTTGCCAACTCGGAATACCGCGAGACCTCATTTGTGCAGGGGATTTCCGGAAAGTTCAAGCTCATCGGCAAGCAAGAGTTGAACGGTGGAGAAACCGCCAAGGCGGCGGGCAAGCCGGGTCCTTATGCCGTCTACTAGTGAGTAAATCGACGTCAATGTTTCAGCTGAAGTTCCCAAGACTAACCAGAGAAAAGCTTTGATGAGGTCGAGGCTCCGGCTTCAACTTCGAAGGCTACTGTCGCGGACGTCAGAAAAGCCCTGACTGATGAGGGTGTCACATTATCTGGAGGTTCTGCTAAGCGCGGACTCGATGGCCTGCTAAATGCACTTGAAACGAGAGTTGTTGGCTCTGGGAAGAGGAGGCATGACTTGGATTATCACGTCCGCAATCGCGTTGTCCGTCATTGAGACAGCGGGTTCGGGCGATGATTGTAGGCTGTGGGTAGTACCCAGGCAGCTTCGTATACTACACATATCAAAGTCACTTCTGACCACTTCCTTCCATTTCCTTCGAGAAAACATTGCTATGACGATCTTCGTATTAGTAACACTTCCAAAGCACACAAATGTAGATTACATCATCCCAGTGGTGTTATTGTTCTCGCTTCTAAGTTTGCTTAGGGTTGTTCAGATGACAGCAGGCCCTGTATTGCTCCCTTGCTTCCATTGAAAGCTGAGCACGTAATAATACTTGCTGAAAGCTCTCCCGGGATCTTCTTGGCCCAAATCCCAAACTTCCTTTCGCCGAAAATATCTTGCCAGCAACTCGACTTGATCTTCAGCGGCGGACACCTTGGTCCATAGTATTGACTGCAAGCATGTACAGCTGCAACTTCTCTGACCAATCGGGCCCAAGAGTCATCAGGACTTCTTGCATGACTCTTGTATCAGGCGAACGTCCAACCCCAACCTTCTGTCTGACTTTCTCCTGGATCTCCCGCACTTCCTTCAACGTCTCCAGTTCCGCCTCGCTCGCCGGTCGAAGCGCACGAGTGGGAGGCTTGGTTCCGGCGTCATCAAGGTCTTGTGTCACGTACATTGGGGAGCCACGAGGAGGGTCAATCAGGACCTCCAGCCTAACCCTCTCCAATTCCTTCTTCTCGCTAGCAAACGTCGGCCCAAAGAGAATTCGCAAGTATTCAGGCGTGTCTTTTCCAGCGATGACGAGACGGCGCATTGGCAATTCCATTCCTAGGCGAACCGAGATAGGATCGATGTTAAGCGAGCGCAACAACGCTTGCCCCTCCTCAGATTTTCGCGCCACATTGTTGTAATAGTTGTATGCGGGGCCCATGCCCGGCGACGCAGCCGTGGGCGGGGCTGGAGCCGGGCGGTGGGCGACACAGGTCGGCTTGTGCATTTTCCAGTGCGAGCGCTGGCAGTCCTGGGAATGATACCACGCCTTCTGACACGCGGAACACTTCTTCATCGGCGAGGAGAAGTTTTCGGAGGAGAGACCACAGCCATGGCATTTGGATGAGTCCCCGGGTGACACAGCGGACGGAACTGCGGTCGCCTGTCCGGACCTGCTACCACCCATGAAGTTCATCAGGAGGTCTCTGAGCTCAGACCAAGTTTCTCCGAGGATCTCCTTTTCCTCAGCAGAGCAAACGGTCACCTTCTCAAGACCACCCGGGATTCCTGCAGCAGCCAGCTCTGGCCCAATAGCGGCAGCGAGCTCGGGACTGACTGTCTGTCGACCAGCTCCAGGGAGCAAACGCAGCATGTTCAGCACCTGGGCTGCCTTTGAAGAAGGCTTGGAGAAGGGGAGTCACAGTCGCTCTGGCTCTATCACGTTCGGTAGGCTGCGAGAGGATCTGAGCCGGGCCGCCTCGCAACACGAACCGGCTGACTGGGTGTACGGCGATTACCAGATCTCCAGGCGGATTGAGTTCGACGTGTCGGACACCAAAAACCCATTTGTTGTCAAGACCCGAAGGCGTTGACTTTGACCGACCGAGAGTCTTGAAGTCCCTTACCGCTTGCTCCATTTTGCGGGCGGGATCAATACGATGGTGCGTTTGTCTAGTGCGGTAGTTATTGAACGATGACCTGGTGACCAGAGAGAAAATCAGCAACCCACGTTTATGTATGTCATTTACCCCAAGAGCTTACCTGACTTTTTTTTGTCGATTGCTTAGAAAGCAAAATGGAAAGGTTGTAGATGGCAGGAATAGTGTTGGGGGCGGGGGTCCAACAAATCCAAGGTTCAGGAAAGTTCCATTCGAGCCCACGGACATTCCAAGCTCGGAACGGGGAATGTTCCTTCGAAACGCGTTTGAGGGGATGTTCTTGCCTCGTCTAGGTATGTACCTTATGAACGGGATCTTGCAGGAAAGTGTTGAGAGTGTCGACTTTCTTCTCCTCCAAAACTTCGAGAGACAGCAGCCACGCTCGGCCGTACCTGCCCGCCCCTGTTTGCAATTCAAGATGCCGGACACTTCGGTGACATGACCTCCGATTGGTGCGCGGAGCGAGCCGGACGAACATCGGGAAAAAAGAATTAAGCGAGATCGTGTGGCTGAGGGGCAGCGTTGGATCCTTGAGGCTATCGCGACACCTGCACATTGCGAATTCCTTCCCACATTGAAAGAGTCATCGGAGTTTCTCGGTTACGGGACTATAACGCTCAATACTTATCATAACTTGGCGCCTCTACTCACAGCTGCGCCAATCTCTTGCCGAACAGCCAAGTCCGTGATGATCTCCTCACTTCCGCCACCGACGATGTTCACTCGAAGGTCTCTGCTGATCTGTTCGACGCGAGCCCCAACGCCGCCACGCTGATATCCAGCACCACCAAATATTTGCTGTGCCTCCCGGTTCGCGAGCTCTAGAAGACGTCCGCCGTGAATCTTGGCCATGGCGATCCTTGATGCTAGTTCTGTGCCCATTGAGCCGGTAGTGTGAGCATGATACGCAATCTGTTCGAGCCAGGCCCAGTGCGACTCGATGTAGCGCGCCATTGTGATGAGCTTATGTCGAATGATCTGATGATACATGAGTGGCTTGCCGAATGTGTGGCGGTCTATGGCATATGCCCAGGCGTCTTCCAGGCAAATTCTGGCCTGGCCGTTCATGAGTACAGCAAGGATGAATCGTTCCTTGTTGAAGTCTGTTTGTTCAGTATAAGAGCCAAGGTATATGTCATCTTCTCACAGGGTCACCTACTGGTCATAATGTACTGAAACCCAGCGTTCTCCTGCCCGATGAGGTGGTTGACAGGTACTTTGACATTGTCCAGTGTCACCCATGTGCTGTCTCCAGCGTTCCATCCACTATTACTAATCTTGCGTCGAGAAACGCCGGGAAGATCAAGAGGAATGACCAGGACTGAGATGCCCTTAATACCAGGGCCTCCAGTCCTTACAGCAGTTGTCATGTGGCTAGCACGTATCGCACCGCTGATCCATTTCTGAAGGTTCATTAGTCTCAAGTCGTGAGCATTGAAGAGATGCAGGAGTTCATCTGTAGAGTTTCTGGTATTTTGACTTACCTTGTGGCCGTTGACTGTGTAATATGTTCCATCATCTGATTTGGTTGCCGTGGTCTTCAAATTCGCCAAATCGGAGCCGCCTTCACGCCTTTAATCACGACACTCTCGAAAGAAACGTCTGACAATGCTCACCAGTAGGCTCAGTACAACCGAGACAAAAGTTTGTTTTCCCGTTAACAAGCCCAGGAAGCCACCATTTCTTCTGCTCTTCTGTGCCATGATGGATGACAGGAGGTACGCCGATTGTCGTGCCGCCGTTGAGTCCCACAGACACTCCGGCAGCCCATATTCTACTAGCTTCGTAGCTAACAACAAGCGAGTGAAAGATATCCCATTCTAGGAATGATGTCAGAAGACGGCTTCACACTGAAGCTTCGTGCTTACTCTCAGCTGGGACATTGCCTGGTAATGGAACATCGCCAGCATATTCACGCGGCAACTCTGGGAAAGCCAAGCCTGATTTGGCAAAGTGAATTCTTGCTTCATGGGGGACATGTCCCTTCTCTTCCCACTCTTGAATATTGGGCGCGATATGCTCCTCGATGTACTTGCGCACGTAGTCCCTCACCCTCCGATGGCTTTCATCATAGTAAGGAGAAGCCAGGGTATTGTACCACGCCGGCTCCGCAAAGGGCGCAGGGTTGCCGTATGGCTCAACGACGGGAACATTCTTGACTTTGATTGACATTGTCTCTCTTCAAATCTGGCTCGATTTCTGTCTAGCATTCTTGTGAATGTCATGACTCTTGTCCATCAGTCTCCTAAAATACATGTGCGGCCCGGTGCACGGTTCGGGATGAGCCGAGGTCCGCCTTGGATACAGCCACTTGCCCCGCGCCATCCACGTAGCTTCTTGTCACGTCTCGCTCCTACCCCGCGCTCCCGCGCTTGGGGATTTCGGGGGGAAAAGGGGCTTGAATTGTTAGACAGCCCTTAGTTGATCCGGATGTGCGATGCGGTCGGACTTTGTTACCCTTAGGCACGACTCGCATCGGTGTTAGGTAACGGCGACAACACTTGAGGCACAAGCTGGCACGGCTTGGTGTCTAAGGCCTAGGTTTCGGCCGCAAGGAAGCAGGCAGCACCTTCTTTCAGCTGAAATGCTGTTATTCCTGCAGGCCAGACCCTGTTACTAGTTTCGACGGGGGAAGATGCCAAAGTGAAGGCGATTTGGGTGGTTTTCTGCGAAAAAGCATCTTGGACACTGGATCGCAATGCGGCAGGTGAGGTCGATGCTTTGTGACAAGCTCCAAACAACTTACTTGATCGTCGACTTTGTCTACTGATGTTGCATCAAGCATGGGACTTTTCGAACCTAAGGGTCAGGTACGGAGGAACCCTTAATGTGACATCGAAGAACGCAAACGCCACGTATCATATGACAGAGCATCCTGGCCATCGACCGGAGAGATGTCTGTGACAGCCAAGCGCCCTCCTACAAGCAATTCGTCCTCATGAGTTTGAGTAGCACACAGCTTCATATTTCATGGTACCCCTCAAACCAATAAGGAAATGCCTCCTTCTCTTATTCTCGGCCTCATTGTATGAAAGAAGTATGTAAAGCCTCGGACTCGGCGAGTCATTTCGGGTCTTCGGCTTCATGTTTGACGTCAGCGGTAGGACCTCTCCCTGTTCATCCCTGATTGACTTTTAAAGTTGTATAAGCGCACCTTTTTCTCTCTTCCGCGCGTCTGGCTAGCCACCTACTCTACCGGCTATCAAACACGTGTATGTGTTGGCTGATCAAGCCGTCTCCAAATTGTCTGAACACATTGTTCCCGGCGTCTTGGGTATTGTCTGAACAAGTCGAAACGCAACGGAAGGAATGTTGCACGTGGAAGATCCGGAGAGGAGGGAACCAATCAGCCAGCCCACTGATGCTAATGAGAGTTGCAAAGAGTCGGGATTTGAGCTGTCGTAAGCGAAGTTCTGCTTAGCAGAAACTCTACCATGTCGATGTCAAGCCATAACCAAGAGAGTTCTCAGTCAACTACTCCAGCTGAGCTGCAGTTGGTGGAACAACGCGAGAAACACGCGTTAGCAGGCAACCGGCCTGCTTTCCTTTTACCGGAACATGTAGTACTCTAATTCAAAACTTGCACATTCAGCTGAGGAGGTGGTCACTTTTTTGACTTTCCGTTACCGTGTACTCTGTCAAGGATGGCAGCACACACAAAGTTCCCGTCTCGCAACCCTCTTGAATGCCTTGTGTCGAACTCTATTCAGCTTGGGAAAGGTCACCCACCGGGACGACGTTTCAGAGCTTGTCCAACTCAATCCATCCCCTCCCCTCCTCTTTTCTCATTGACTTTCCCAATCAGGTGTCATTTTCTTCCCTTCTAGAGCCCTTCTAGTGCTGCTTTCCTCAGCTTCTGCCCCTCGATGCCATCACCGCTGCTGCCCCTACTGTCAAATTTTCTCCTCTTCCTCCCTGCCACCTATGGAAGCATCGTGACTTGTTGTACCGACCGACCGACCGACCGAGACTCCGGAGTCGGCATCGCAATATGTCGTTCTTTCGGTCGTTGGACGCGGTCAAGGGCATGCCTCTCATGACACCGGAGCGAGAGGCTGCTTTTAGGGCGGAAAATCGAGCGGGAGAGGTGTATACGATCCACATCATCTTCTTCGTCCTCTCGATTCTCTCGGTTTGTGCCCGGCTTGCTGCGGCGAGGCAGTCTGGTCGGAGGCTGGCTTGGGATGACTGGCTGTCGGTAACTGCTCTAGTGAGTCTGCGATTCTCTGAGGGAATGGCTCGACGACGTTGAAAGTCTCATGATTCTCGTGGACTTCTTCCTTCTTCTCTAGTAGCGAGTGTCGCTTACACATGTTGCAGGTCTTCATCGTCGGAGTGTTCACCGGCACAATGTTCTGGCTCAGGTTTGGACTTGGTAGACACGAAGTAGTTGTCCACGAGGAAGACCCCATGAACATTACCCGATTCTATCAGACAATCTTCGCCAACGAGATTATGTATCCAATGGGGCTCGCAAGCGCACGGCTATCACTAGTGATATTATATCACCGTATATTTGGACTCTTCAGTGCGAGGTACTATCTGTACGGTCTCATGTTCTTCATCGGAGCTTGGGCAATATACGCAGTAAGTCACATTGACCGCCAGCAGAGGCCTAATCTGAAAGGGTTACTGTCTCACAAGGAAGTTGATGTAAACTCGTGCTACAAGAGGCATGGGACGGTGCCATTGGATATTATCAATAAGTACTGACACTAGAACTAGACTATTCCAACGATTGTGGCTTGCATACCCGTGCAAAACTTCTGGACTACACACAAGAACTGTCTTGACCTTTCCAAGCTATACATCAGCATAGCAGTTGGTAGCATCGTGACCGACTTCGTGTTGATACTTATTCCAATACCCTACGCGATGAGGTTGACGATGTCACCTTTTAGGAAAATGCTCCTCATCTCGTCCTTTGTATTCGGCGGCTTGTGAGTATCTTCTATCTTTTCATGCTTGCGAGCAGACAGACGAGAAAGACTCGCTAAAGGTTTATGAATAGCAACTGTTTCATCACCATCATCAGACTGGTCAAAGTCTCAACCTTTGACTACAAAGATCCCACATGGGGAACCGTCGATTTGATGATTTGGACAGGACTGGAGGCTTATTGGTAGGCACTTAATGCCCCATCTACGATAACTCTTGTCAAGGACTCACACTCATACTTGAATAGTGCCGTGATATGCTGCTGCCTACCGACCCTTCGCCCCTTACTCCAAGTCCTCCGTTCCAAATCCTCCAAAGACACCAACCAAAATGGAGACGAAATGAGTCGGCCTGAGGTTTATCTGAAAATGCCACCGCAAATAGCTTCTCGCTCTTCTGAGGAGGCACTTGAGGAATACGACTTCGTCAAGATGAGTCTCGCAGATCTTCAGCAGTATAGCCGGCGCACGATGATCGAGACGGGAGGGACAGCATTGGTGTATAGACAGCCATAGCAGGTTAAGACCAAAACATCATCTTAGAGCTAGTGTTTAATATCAATAATAGAGCCCACCACCTCAGTCCAAGATTGCGGTTATTCGACAAGCGAGCGTGCTGACATCAGAATTACTCCTAGAAGACGACACAGTAGCTTGACCGAGTCTCAGGAATAACAAAATCTCCCTGAATGGTTCAGGTCTCATGGAGCCACTCGCTGTGTCGGCTCTGAAGACTTCACTAAGGGAGGGGATGTCTAGGCTCTAGTGGTCTTCTCGAGCGACATGGAAAGTACGTATTCGCAAGTATCTGTACCCAGAATCGACTTCTAATAGTTGGACGATATTTAGAAGCTAGACTGCATGCCAAGGCTATCGGTTCAACTGTCACGCTAGGAGAATGAAGGATTCTTCGAGATACGCTAGTTCTAGTCACACTATTGAACCTAAACTCGCCGTTGTCACACTAGCTTCCGCCGTACAGCCGTTCCGAGCAGAACTTAAGGTAATTATTCGCACTCCAGCATTGTTGTCCGAAAACCTTGCCCTAGTTTCGCTTAAGCAGACTCCTTTGGGCATTGATCCTTGCCTAAGGCTTGCTTGCAAGCGATATTCTTGCTGCCCTTGATCAATTTGTAGTCACGTGGAGTCGCGAACCAATCTTCAGACTCCAATTTCCTCCCACGGTTATGGAAGGAAGCGAGCCAGAATGGTATCGACCTCGTCCCAGCAGCAATCACCCGTATCCGAATCTCGCTCCCATGGATTTGGATCCTTCTAAGGTAGGCTGCAGACGGAACGCTACTGCGTCTTAGACTTTTGTGTTTGAAGGTTGTCATACGACTTCGGACTTGGTCGCAATATCACATTTAGAGAGCACGCGATCAATAGAGCACGCCTACCTAGCCGAGAATATTCAAGTCATTGATACTAGGTAAGGATACTAAGAAGGGAAGAAGGAGGCACGGGAAGGGGATATTATGCTCGGGGTAGGCCTTCAAAGTAGGATCATCTCTAGCCAAATCTGACGAAGTCTGACTAACAGAAATCAATTACCAACGGCCCCGATTAAGCAGAGAGACCTGGTTGAAACCTCGGGAATCAAAGAATACAGAGAAGTGATCCATACTGCTCATCCAGAAGAGGATTCGTTTGCATGCTATGAGATACACAGCTCGCAGCCCTGGAATCTTCCATATGTGGCGTGGCATGACGGCCCTTGGCCACCCAATTCGGGGCCCAAACAACATCCCTGGCATAATGGGATACCGACGAGTGGGACGTCCTGTCGAGTATGTCAAATCCATCAATGTCTTTCCCAAGTATCTCACATGTGGTACACACGTTGGTGCCTGGTAGGCTCCATCAACTACTGCGTATGCGGGCAATAATTCCCAATACTCCGGACACAAATCAGCTCTTTCCAGGGCGGGATCCCTCCCAAAGCCCTGTCGACAACATGGAAGCCATGCGGACTTTTAATCCTCGACCAACTGATAGGACAATTCTCTCAGGCGCAGACGTAAGTCGGTTCATCACTTTGCTCGTCTGTTGCGTCGCATCGTCCCACATCGGTCGAGGCAAGTATCCGTACGGGTAACTGCTTGCACCACATGTCGTCGATATCTGATCTTCCACTCGACGACGTTGCCATCGACGCCTCTTTAATGGGCCGTTTTCCCACGCTATCCAACGACCGTTGAAAAATCATAACCCGCCACTATCACTGGTCCGGTC